CAGAGCCCACAGGCCACACAGACCCCACAGACCCCACAGGGCCCAGAGACCCCAGAGACCCCAGAGACCCCACAGACCCCACAGACCCCACAGGCCACACAGACCCCTCAGACCCCGCAGACCCTTCCCCACCCTGCAATGGGATCAAACTCCCTGAGCTCTCTGATCCCACCCTGCTCCCCCCAGGAGCGGGGCCAGCGGCTCCTGCAGACGCTGCGGGGGCTGGAGCAGCAGGGCCTGGAGGGGATGAGGGAGCTGCTGGAGGGCACCGTGCCCCCCTGCCCGGAGGAGCTGGCTGACCTCTTCTTCGACTGCGTGGAGGCCGAGATGAAGTTTTACACCTAAACCCCACACAGGTGGGTGGGCTCGGCTTCCCCCACGGCATTTTTCACGGGTAGGGAATCACAAAACATTCCCAGAGTCCCAAAACATTCCCGGAGTCCCACCCTGACCCTTCCTGGCTCCCTCCATGGGTCCCAGCCACCAGTTTACCCTGGAGGGGTGGCCACGGCCTGGAATGAGGTGCAGGGGGAAGGACAGGGATATGGCATGGGATTGGGAGCCCTGCCCACAGCCCCTTGTGCGCTTTCCCCCATTTCCAGCCCCTCAGGATGGCTGTAGGGTGACATCCAGCTGGATTGGGGTGGGAATAACGACTTTATTCCTTGCTGCTGCTGCAGGATATTTGGGATAACTGCCCATTCCCCGCTCCTTTGGCACAAGGCTCCTTCTCCAGAGCCTTGCCTGGGGGCTGGATGGCGCCAGGAGCTCGCTGGGACACCCTGGATGCTGGCAGAGGTGACAGCTGTGCCCCTTGGGGACAGAGCTGGCCCTGCCCCGGGTCCAGCAGCAGAGCCCGGAGCTCCCGCAGCTCCTCCAGCCGGGCCCGGTGCTCCTCCAGGCTCTTCCTCCGCCTCCACCGCGCCCGCCCGGCCAGCTCCCGGTGCACATCCAGCAGGAAATCTGCCAGGACGGGAATCCCAGGAGATGTGGCACTGCCAGACCAAGAGTGCCGCGCGTCCTGTCCCCGTCCGGGCACCTTTGTCCACGGTGAAGGGAATCCTCAGCTCAGGGAACAGCTCCTCATCCTCCTCTTCCTCCTCCTCCTCCTCGCTGCTGCTGCTGCAGGAGCCTCCTCCTGCCTCTTCCCGAGCCGTGTCTCCATGGATTGGCTGGGAATCCAGCTGCAGGAGGTGGGGCAGGGCTGCCACCACCAGATCCCTGCGGGAAAAACGAAGGA